AATGTATTTTTTTGTAAAAAACATTTTTTTCATTGCAATATTTTTGAAATTAATATTGTTGAAATTTTATTTCACTTTAGTTATTAATAAATTTGTAAAACATTTATTTATATGTTTATTTTCGACTTTTTGTTTTTTTTAATCGCATGTATTTAGAATCTTTTAAAATTCAAATTTATCTGCCATAAGCTGTCACAAATCTACAAATTTCAATGTAGTTTCGGTTGTTTAACTGTCACCGTTTTTTCGGGAATTCAATATAGGCTATATCCCATCCAGTGTTACTAAGATCAGTGATATACAGTAAAGAAAACAAACTATTTCCTACATGAACCCAGTGGCGGCTCGTGACCTGTGTAATACCAAAAATCATTTAAACTTAAGCGGCTGAATACGAGACTTTTTAATTCAGTTACTTTCATGATAAATAATTATTACATTCCTTTCCAATACTCCGCTATCTATACGTTGACGTCGGTAACCATATGGCAACCGTCCAGCGATTCGCTATGAGCTGCTGGTACTACGCCGATACAATAATTATAGCGCGCATTTATTATGATAGAGAAAAACCGTATTATTCGTATTGTATAGGTCCGGCTCGTCCGTAGATAATTAAATTGTTCGCTCACAAACTTTATTATTGCATTTATTTGTGTTTGACTCTTTTATTGTTAATAAATTTAAGAGGAGTTAAATAAAATTACTGATTAAGTATATGCAGATGTTTCCCGCTACTTCGCAGGGAGGGCGACGCCCCTCCCTTACCAGCCGCCACTGCACGAATCAAAAGAGATCGCAATAATAATCATATAATGATTACCATAGTAAAATGTTCTTTCCATTGCTGAAATGAAGTATAATACACCATACTGTTACTCAATTACTATTCCCTTTTTAAAACATTGAGGGAGTTTGTTCTTGCTTTACTTTTTTAAATCCACATATTATGCGGTAAATAATTTGTTTCCGATACTGAATAACATGCATTCGTTATTTTAATCCTTCCTGACAATGGTCATCTAATATTGATCTTTAGTCAAATAAAAATAATACTAAAGTAATACTTTCGGAACGCCTAATTTATGGCTAAATTAAAAAATTGTATAATCTTTTTGTAAAAATTGCGTAGTTAATAGTATTTTTAAACGGATCATTTGGTGTTTTTTTTATAGCTGTTTTTTTTTAACTATTATGTATAATGTTATAGGATTAGGATTTAATCCGTCTGTGACTTATGGTTTTAGAATTAGCATTAAAACAAAATATAGTAAAATAACAATACATATTTAATACAAAAAATATTTTAATATTGTCATAATCTGTTTAAACATCTATTATAATATTTTAAGCTTTTAAATCTTTAAATTAAAAAGTATGTTTTGTATCAAATACATTGATTTTTATATTTTATTTTTTTTTATTGCGTAAGTTACAGAGACTTCAAATCCGGTATTACTGTAATAGTTAAAAGGACAGACGTTAAAATAAAATCGATAAACTTTTACAAAAAAATCTTATTAGTTAAGCCACAAATTAAGTTTACTTATATTTGATAATCAAACTGACCAGCGTTCGATACGCACATACAATTATAGTTACCGATTCATTTTTAAGGAATTAAATTGTGAAGCATTATATTATAAAATAGGCATTTATCATAAGATATGATTTATAACTATCAAAACATTACATGACTAACTGATGTAAGGCATATATTTCTTATATATTACAACTTTAACGATCTAATAGTCTCAACAAACTTTTGCTATTGAAGTCGACTCCTTCCTAAATTGTTGAAAACCTTTACAACGTCTAGTTGTGTCTAAATATTCACTTGGAGTTCGATGGAACTAATTTAATTATATTCGACATCTATGTAATCGTCATTCATAAGATACCAATAAAGTTAAACTTTATAATGAAATAACTTGTATAAATGTTTTCAGCTTATTGTGTATCATGCATTGACGCAGTATTATAATTTTATACGATCAATCGAATCTCGAAGTTGATATTCTAGTATAAATCGAGATCAAATTTAAAATTTTAACAATTAAAAAAAAATTATTTATTAAAAATAAGATTTATTAAAATTATGGTATTGTAGTCATTAGAATCATTTATAGAATTTAGATTAGAGTAATGTACCTAATTAATAGAAATTATTTACATTTTACAATTAATTGACTCCTAACTCTATGACTAAGTTCATTTAATAATGTTTTGACTAGAATGTCCCAATATATTTTAACAGTTCTTACAACTAAAAGTAATATTAGATTAACAAGTGGAAAACTTGTCTTTAGTCTTAGAGTCTCACATACTGAAAATAAATAGGGACACTCTAGGTTTGACTGTCTTCCTCATATATATGTAATTTTTGATATTTTTATGCTTTGTCTAGGTACACGCACGTGTACGCACATTTGAAATCTGTGCACACGCAAAACGTCATCAATAACGTAACATCATATTTTAGCTTGCAACTGATTACTTCAAGGTACACGATAATTTTCTTGTATTATTTGAAGTTATGAATGTGGCAATGTTTAATAAACATTCAGATAAGTTATATTTGGAGTACATCCTTAAACTCGTACAATATAATACAATACAAATAAGCAAATAAATATATCCAATTCAATAAATTCAAAACGTAATTAACACTACTTATACAGGATAAGAAAAAAATATACAAGCCATATGATATAGCCAATGCGAGTGTACATCTATTTCTATATTTGCGAATCTTAACATACTGCATCTGCAATAGAGATGGGGTACCTATACCGAATGGCTCATATACTTTTTTCTAACCTATATATGCTACAGTAAAGGCGTGAAATGTAAACAATATATGGCATTTACAAAGTATGTTAGTCAAAATAAGAAAACACTTTAGTGCAAAAGTATAAGTATAGTAATTTACTATATAGCGAAAAATATTAAAGGAATCCGAAACGAATTAACCTAATCTACGATAAGAAAAATGTGAGTATTATAATAAAACTATGTATATACAGGGTGGTTCAGTTTATATTGTCATGATTTCACCAGCTGAAAGTTTATTGAAAAGTAAAGATACTTTTGAGACAATTGGTATTAAAGGTTCCGGAAACTTATCGGTTAAAGATCCGAAAAATAGGAAAAAACTCCTAGGAAATCTCTAAACAAATTCCAAAATTACACCTAAGAAATAATGAAAAATTGAAAAATGTCTGTCCAATATACTATGATCCATACAGGGTTCAGGTAATAGTCAGTAGAAAATAATTCATAGTGCGCAACAGTTTATTTTTGTATTCACGCAATATTATTTAAGTTTTCTTGTAGTTAAATGTTTTATTTAAATAAAAAAAGTGGACAATGTCACTGGCTACAAGTGACAAATGTAAAGAGGCGAAAACTAAACGAAATGTCGTGTTTGTTTTGTAATAAAATGGCCCAGAAACGAAAACCACAATCTTTTATAAATATTCAAAGAGGAGCAGATTGACGAAAAGATGATATTAATGAGGTAATAAAAAATAATATAGACTTTACTGAACAGAATAATTGTTCCTGGCATCGAACTGGTATAGCAAGTAACATTAGTAAAGAGAAAATAAGGTGTCGAGAATTAGTATTACGTAAGCAGGAGAATATCTCTATTTCCACCTCGTCTGCCGAAGCAAATAATTTTTTTATCAACAATTCTTGTTTTTATTTTTAAGTTTTTAACCAGCTATAAGTATCTTCAATCAAATGAAACAATTGGCTACTGTCACTAAAACAATAATTAAAAAGGTTCCAATGCATTTGTTCAGTCCATTCACTTCAAATCTAAAGGAATGAGGTGTAAAAAATAAGTGGACCAACAAACTTCCTGGCAAACTCCAGAATCATGATCATGAACAGGCTTTTCTAAGTTCAAAAGTATGTAAAGAATGCGGTCCTCATATTTTGTACACTCAACTCCATCCAGCTTCCGCTCTATTAATTTTTTTCTTGAATACAAATATACGAAACAATTTAAGAGGCAAAAATTTGTATTTTTATTTAGTTTGTTCAAAAAAATCTATTAAAAATATACAAGGCGATCTTTTTTGTGCCGAAAACTAATCTGTGAGCAAGCCTCTGGAATTATTGGATCAACTGTAAGATGTACAAAAGACACCTCGTAAAGTTGTCAACACAACGTGAAAATTTCTTTAAAATCGGTCAAATCCCTTTTAGATATTAATAAAAAAATTTAACACCCTGTACATAAAAAATTGGCCCATGTTTTATCGGGTAAACTAACTTTATTTTTCGATAAACTATCGACTGTTAAAATTCTGACGATATAAACTGGATCTGTACAATAAAAAAAATCAAAAACCTAACCTCTGCGACCCAGAGCCAATTTTATGACATTTTCTTGTCTGTTGCCTCTTTTACATTGTTTTACTGCGCAAAAGAATAAAATGTTTGACCACACTGCATAATCACACCATAATAGTCACATGGAAAAACAAACAAATATGCAATAACTTCAAAATTAATACGTAAGCTAATATTGTCCACGACGCAATTGGAGCACGCTAAAAATCGACGTATTTAAAATGATGACGTTTAGTGTATGCCTAGACAATTTTTAGTTTCGAATGCACATTAGCGTGTACCTAGACAACGCGTTTTTTTATTATAATATCAAAGCTTAGATTATGAGGCAGCAAACTAGTTAAAACCTTTGTCAAGTGAATTGATTCAGCTTTTAGAAAAAACCTCTTTAACATCAACAATCGATTTGTGAACGAAGTACTAACTAAATGCCATGATGATGTAATCATAATGCTTCATATTTGGTTCCCATAAAAACAAAGCAGTACACAAAAAATCATATTATTAAACTTAAAAATCAGGCAAGCACACTTAGTATTCACACAAATCTTTCATTCATCGTCGGACAATCTCTGAGAGAAGCGACATAATCTCTGTTACGATCAGAGAACAACATCGGGCAGACTATGTGGCCACTAGGCCCGCGAATCGTTATCGTGTACGATTTTCCTTTCTTTGTAGTAGATCTCCTCGCTTTCTTTGTCGCACATCAACAAGATGACAGCTCCAAAGAGGAAAATGGCGGCTCCCCATCCGACGCCATATGCCCATCCGAATTCCCATATTGTTCGGTTACCTGATAAAAAATAAAAGATTAGACTGGCATTGTAAATAAGTTTTTTTTTTTTTATAAGAATCAATAAAAAATCTACTCATAATAATTTATATTTAAACAATTTTGCTTATCACGTTTAAGATTTTATATTTAGTATAAAAAAGTAATCACAAGCAAGTGTTATAATTGGAATTATTATTAGTAAAAATCTAAAGGGTACACAAAACATGTAGAAGCAATAAATATTTTTTCTACACCCACATGGATATTAGCTTATCTGTACAGACTAAAGAGAAAGTAAAAGTTCAAAAGTCTTTTGGTAGGTAGAGAGGGGGTAAACATCAAACCACGTCGGGTGGCTCCGAGAATTTCACAGTAATGTTTACCTGTCAGTGTCGTTTCATAGAATAAGTAATTTTATCGGCGGAACCGGACAATCGCATGTATTTATGGATTATAAATAATTATTAAACATGTATTATAATATTCAAATTATAATTTTACAAAATTTCAACAGCTATTCACAATTTATTAAACTATTTACTCGAAATTGTTATTAACATCTATAAAATAATTTTGTACGTCAATGTATCGCGTCCACTTCGGTGAGATCCGCTGGCAACCTGTCAATTTATGTGTATAAAGTGGGAGAACTGGCAAAAGCATTTCAAACTTTTACTTCTGTTCTACAAGACGAAAAAGTATGCCATTGCGTTCAACTGAACGAATATATTTCATATCCATTCTAGGTAGTGAGAACACTGCAAAAAAATGAAATCCACCAATCACAGTTCATATTTGAACCATATTATTTAAAAAAATAATAAATTTTAATCATACTATAGGAAACTATTTTAATTACGAGTATTAAAAGCAAAATCGTAAAAGTGGACGTAGGCCATGGACAGAGTGCTTGACTTCCACGCGAAAAGCCGGGAATCGATTCTCGGATGGCGACAATTTTTTTTTTTCATATTTATTTTATTTTAAAAATCAGTAAATTTAATAAATTATTTCAAAATCAGTTATTTTGTCTTAATAATTTAAAATATTTTTTAATTTGTAGATTTCCGTTAGTGGGTCGTAGAAAAAATATACTGTACAACTCGAGTGGATTGTCCATATCGCACTCAGACTCTTGAGAACTCCGCCTACGGCGTCGTGCCCAAATTTCGTCTTCGTGCGATATGGCCATCATATCCAGTCTTGTTGCACAAACTACTATTAACTAAATATATTAAAATTAAAAGTAACGCCAGAGACAACAGAGACGTGTAACTTAATAGGAAAATTTGTTCGGTGGTCCATTTAAATTACATATATGACTTTCTTTCTCTTTTACATTGATCTTTACATATATTTATCTCTCTCCAATAAAACTAACACCAATCTTAAAGGTCGCTGATGTTGCTGGTTTTTTGACGTCGACGTATAGATTAGAACTGACAACTGACAATGTTATGAATGTTGTTATGAACGTGTGCATTTTATTAAAATTAATTTAATTTGGGCCCCGTTTATTTCTTTGAGTCTGATTTTGTTGTTTAATTAATTTCCTTTAAGGGGGATGTTTATTTTCGCATATTATTTTGCATGAACAATTTCTTTAACCAAACTCACGCTTTTGCACACGTTTCTTTCTAGAGGTAAGTAATTTCCAATTTATTAAGAAAACCACTGTATAATGTGTGTGTTAAATAATATATTACAAAATGGCTATAATTATTTTAGGTGAATTGGAACAGAGATCCATTGTTACAGCCACTTTTGTTCATTAAGTAGGTAGATGAATGTCTCGACAACTTTAATGACAGCACAAAGTTCCCACCTGCTAGAAAAGAAGTAAAATGTTTGCTGAGTAAAAAATCTCTGCACATGTAGTATTGTAGAGTCATTTAAACGAAGAAAAAAATTGAATCACAAAAGGGCAGAATTTTAAATCAGGATGCATTGGAAAATAAATTTGGGGATTTGGATTTTAGAGAGAGATCAATCTCAAGAAAAGTTAATTTATCCTGCAGAACAACCAGTAATTTAGGTAGGATCTGCTATAACTTTATTAGAAGATTTCCTTGATAATAAATTGTAATATACCAATTGTTTCAAATGAAATTGAAAAAGAGTTAAATTCGAAATTAGATTTTTCATGAGTAAAATGTTATATTCATTCAAACATCGTAAGGTAATCTATAATTAAGGTAGTATGGAAAATAGGTATACTCTGGTAAGGGACAACGACAAAAAAATTACAAAAATGTATTCATCTTTAAATAATGTTTATTATTATTATTTGCTATGTTTGAAAAGTACCTCCTGCTGCAGAGCAGATCGAATAGATTAGACGACTAGTTGGAGAAGATCCACCTAGTCACCAAATTAGGAGATTAGGAAAACTTTTACATGACTGGGGACACAACAGGAATGCACACACACAAGATACACAAACAGACGACATAGCAGGGGTAAGCCTTCAGCAACGTCCTGTTTAAATGATGATAGTATGTCATCCTTCATTCCCCTTTAAAAAGGCATGGCACATAAAACTATTGATCTTGATGACCCTAAGAGGAGTTATCAGGGGGGTGTACGAAATGGGTCTAGCAGGTTTCGATCCAGTTTACAGGATGGGAACTTACACGACTTGGGCCTTATACATTTGTGTGAGTGTATGTGTGTGTTTTTGTTTCGTTTCCATGGTTTCTATTAAAATAAACTGTCATAACATATTGATACCTTTTTGCCAGACTAACGTAAGCGTTGTTCAAATGGCACTTATAATAGTCTGGCAAAAAGGTATCGATGTACCTATACTTTATAAAATATTTGTTACATTATGTTTTAAATATATTATGAATATATAACAACTGTGACTTTCTTTGTAATTTGTTACAAAATGATACGAGGTACTTCCTAAACGTAGCAATTTTAATTTGTTTTTCTGTACCTTACAAAAATATAATTTATAGAAAAAGAGTTTGGTGTATTATTTTTCCAAGTTTAAATATTTAATAATCAATAGAATTTTCAAGTTTTTTTAGCGAAATTTACAATAGTAATAAAAACTATGTTCACTGCTTATATTAAACTGATTAAAACTTCCTTTATTAAAATGATTATTTATATGATAAAAAATTTGATGTTATTGGAAGCTTTTATATTTTTTAAAATACACTGAAACAAAAGTTTTTGTTTCTCCTGTAAATTTGTATAGAAAATCTATTTATTTCTGAATCCATGTTTGAATTTCCCGCCCTAAAGTATTTTTAATTTTCCCGCTATTTACTAGTGGCGCCATCATAGATTGGTTGTGGTTACAATCGCCCAAACAACTTTTACCGAACAAAAAAAATACATTGAGTTACACGTCTCGCTGGGTTGTCTCTGGTAACGCACTAAAATAAATCAAACAACTAAATATATAGGTCATAAATCTATAAAACAACTTACATCGTGCCAAAGAATTATTCAAGGAAAATAGGATTCACTATGTCTAATTTTGTGTCTCGCGAGAACACATTATCTAATTTTCGTTTAAGTTGTTACAACATAAACGGTTGAACATATCAAATAGTGTAATTAACTGTCCAATGTATGTTTGCTTATTATCTAAATAAAAATTGATAATTTTTGTAATTCTTTTATATACATATAACACTTTTTAAATCATGAAAATACTCCGAGAAATTGTGAAGCCTCAGCGTACCTTCCCTAAGGACTATCAGAGCCTTTAACCAGTTGTCAAAACCGTTCAACAGTACTATTAAAGGATTGTTTTGTTTTTATGTTGTCTTTTATTTTTTGCCCCGGGTGAATGGAGGTTCCTTCAGAACTCCAGGAGCCTATGGCTAGTGACAGTGCTTCCATCTCTTAATAGTATATTAGTTATAGTCATCTAAATTAGTTAAAGACTAATTAGAGACACATGGTTGTTATAAGGATTAGAGTGGTTATGGTTAATGACATACATTTTTGAGTTTCACAGTAAGCAAGATTGTGATGCAAGGTGCGTTGAAATTAATCATGTTTTTACTAATTAATAGTAAGAGCTTCTTAATTAACATCTCTTAATTGGAACACAATTGGAAAACAATATAGTTTTTTTAATATATCCGATACCGTTTGCCGCACAGATATCAGTTTTTGTATGAATAGTATCCTTAAAAAAATACTTTTTTACAGCTTAATGATTGGCTTTGCATGAAGTAGTGGAGGATATTTTAGGGTTGACAACGGTTTTTTTTACCATAATTTCTACGCTGCTGTAAAAATATTGTTCTGGGAAAATTTTCAAAAACAGAGTGTTCTACAAAAAAATACCCTTGATACTTTTTTAAAACGTTTTTCGAGAAAAATTATGGTAAAAACTATGGAACTTTGAAAAATTGTATTTAATGAACTGTGAAAACATTTTTTACATCATACAATAACAATATAAATAATATTAAACAAAACAAAAATTAATAACTAATACAGTTTTAGACTTTATAAGAATGTTTACAGTAAATTTTTGAAATGTTCTCCTTCTGAATCAATGCAAGCACATACATTTAATGAAATTTATTCTCACTCTGAAACATTTGTGGAGAATTTCGAATCGTGTCGAATGCTTTCTTCCGTTATTCGCTGGCGAAATTGTTGATGTATCGCCATAAACAAGACTTTTATGGTGTCCTCATATATACAAATTTGCGGCATTTAAATCGGGCGACCGCGGTGCCCAAATTATTGGAACAGCGGCTCCTCCGCCAATACATCGACCAAGAAATTGTTGAATACCAAATCTGTTGCCGGAGTTACAAATTCAACATCATCCAAAAGTTCAAGGATGTAATTTTGTACAAAGTTTAAGTACTGGGCACCCTCTAATCTCCTTGGTAAAAAAGGACTCTAGCAAATGATTGCCCACAAACGTTAACTGAAAATGTGTCTTGAAAGTGGGTTTGAACAATGGCATGAGTATTTTCATCTACCTATTGGTATAAATTATGCAAATTTAGTACTCAATCTCTTGTAAATGTTGCTTCGTCAGTGAAAAAACTCAATTCAAATCTTCCCGATGAAGAGCCAAAGCAAACGGTAAAGATAGTCTTCTGGCTTTAAAGCGTATGACTTTTGGTAATGGAATGGATGCAGAAAACTTTCCACAAGATAGTTTGGAGATTGTTTTCAAACTGCCTCAAAATTCGGGCATCCATCGCAGCGTTTTATTCTACGAGTAAGTGTCTGCCACAATCTCTGCGATCCGAAAGAACACTCGCAGTTTCAACAATTCTTGCGTGAACTCGAAGAAACATTCCCACAGACAGCAGGAATTCGTCTTCTTGAGTAAAGCTGCATGTACCTTCTTCCTCGACTGTAGTCATAAGTAAAGTGAATATCTGCGTATTCTTGATTGGTAAAGTTAAAAGTACAACCTTATGGGTTTTTTGGACTAGCCCATGTTTATTTACATTGTTAAGTGAATTTATTTGTAAAAAAATGTGTAAGAAGTAAATAAACATTATTATTATTATTATTATTAAAACCGTTGCGATTATTCATTATTGTTCAAACTTATTGAAGAGTTGAAAGAATTGCGAAAGAACTGACAAATTCTAACAATTTTCCTACCGTCATTCTACTAGCTTCTGCTTTTTCTTTTTTTCCCACAGATTAAAATAATACGTGCTTGCACTGATGCAGAAGAACATTATTATGTTTTATTTAATTATTAAATGGATTGGCAATCCTGTTTTATTTGAGTTGGCGAATTTTTTACAATGAATTTGCGAAGTAAAATACGGGCAGCAATTTCTCTTGTGCAAGTTTACTTGAGGATAGGAAAATTGTTAATGGTGAAGTGGCTCAAAGAGTCATAATCTTTCTTCAAGTGGTACAACTTATTTGGGCATGCTCTGTGTGCTTTAAGGTTATGGCTATAAGGCGTTATAAATGGATGAAAGTTTGTCGCACGGAAGAAGGATAAATTTATCCATCCTCCATTGTTGGTCGCATAGCAACTTTGCAGCAAACAGACCAATTCATATCTCGCTGAAATAACACGAAACAGCAGTAAGGCGAAATCCTTTCTGCTGCATATGTGTCTATCTAGCTAGAGGCTTCTGCTACGTGAATTTGAAAAATTAATATCGGTAAATTTACATACAACTTTTTTAAATTTACAACACTATATCCAATAGTCAGAAATACACGTGTTTACAGTTTTCTTCTGATATAATTCTGGTGATATATATTATTAATAATAATAATTATATGTATAAGTTATTGTACGGCATATTTCTATGGCAGCTGCTATGACAACTAAACTGTATGAGTAAATTAACAAATGTTATATTTTAAAAATTATGGAATGTTCTTATCAGAACTCAAGTGTTTTATTAGCGTTTTTTTGCAATGTAGCTGATATGAAAGCCAAACAGAACTTTTGAATCATAAAGTACATTGAGGTCTTTAACATCGGAAGTTTTTCTTAATTGTTGGGTATTTACATAGTACTGATATTCCTTAACATATTTAGTCAAAAAAAAGTGTATTTACCTACATTAAATTTCATTATAATTTATGTACACCGAAAGTCTTAATCTAGGATCCTAAAATCTATCATATCTTGTACAAATCTAGAAACTATCCCAATTAAAATTAATGTAAATTATAAGAGATCTGACTTGATATAATTTCTATTTAAGCAATGACTACAGATGTAGATACATTTGACATAACAAACAACTTACCCAAATTCAATTCAGCGGCAAAGCAAACAGGATAAATGATCAACGCTACTAGGATGGAAACCACTGTGAACAAAGAAACGTGATTAGTCAGGGTCGCATTTAGGATGGATTACTGAGAAAGCAAACTGATAGAATTACATTTTCTGGTTTTGGTCTTTTATTGGGTTGTAGGCGTTTGAATTAAAATAGGTAAACTTACAGTCTGTTAATAGTGAAGTTGTAATGCTTGCAAAGAAGACACAAGCGCCGAAAGCTTTACAACTTCAACACCTCCAACCGAAGAAGACCAAAACCAGAAAATTAAAGAATAAGGTATTAGAACCATAAAAATATAGGATGGTATGTATTCCTATAATTTATGGTATAATCAAGTATGAATAGAATTAAAGCCCATTTTCAACAAACAACGTCTATTTAAAATTTATTGGACCCGATAAACTTTGACGGAGCTTGAAAATATTATAATATGTCTAAATGACATTAACTTCAAATTATGCACAATTTAATAAAATTGTGGGTGATCTCTGATTATGGGATCATTAGCTATTAAGATATTTAACAAACATTCTTGCCACGCGGTGGCAGTATGATAAAATAATTTTTAATTTTTCTTTTTAACCAACTTCAAAACAGGAGGAGGTTCTCAATTCGTCGGAATATTTTTTTATGTATGTTCAGCGTTAATTCCTTACTACGTTGTCCGATTTCTAGGATTCTTTTTTTGTTAGAAAGAGGGTACCCCAGGTGTGGTCCCATATACATTTGGTCAATACATAATAATGGGATCCATAAGAAAATCATCAAACTCCTAATTTTTTTTAAGTATTTTCAGCGATAATGGGGCATGTTCAAAAATTTTGAATTTTTTTTTATGAATAATACAGTTCAAAATAAAGCTACATTTAAATTTTTTTATGTATTCATTTTAAATATTTCCATTTGTAAGTATTAGTAACTACTTTATTTATGTTCCTATTGTTGTAAAGCTTTTTATTTTGTAAAGCTTCTTATTTTTTAGGTCTCCTACGAATCTCAAGCACTTAACATGAACAGTGGTTACAAACCATTAATCAAATTGTTAAGAAATTATTTTTAGCTAAACTTCGTTACGTCTCTTCTCAGCATTTTGAGGAAGGCAAATACCAAGAAAATTGAAGCATTTACTTCAATAAATGGGAGCAGTATTAAAATCAAACGAAATAATATAAATAAACATGTAAGTAATATTTACTTTTCGGAACATTTATATTACAATAATTGATTTTATATATTTCAGGTTTACTATCGTGACTCATCTACACACCTGAAAGTAGAGGTAGTCCTCAGCTCAGAAAATAGCCCCATCTGCTAAATAGTATATCAGAAACAATTAGAAAATGACCTGTAATATTTAATTTTTTTATTTGGTACAGTAAACCTTGTAACAATTTCAGATAAATGGAAATTTCTGAAAAGCGAAAGTACCACTGATCCAGGTACATTGATTTTGTACGTTAGACATACACAGGAAACATAAAAGTAACAAAAACGTCTTTTAGAGCCACCGTCTAAAAGACACTAATACATGCAGAAACATGGTCATAGCAACATATTTTCCCATTAAAATGGTCTAGATATTCGTTAATTAAGTATGAGGAACCTGGTCAGAGGGCCCACCACTATATATTCTAAAATGAGTATCTGTGCTATTTAGACGTCCAGTACTCACTATACGTACATATTGGTGCACATTTGGGCCAATACGTTGACTGGGAACGGTGAGAAATTGAAAGATTCATTAGTTGACAGTTGTCGCAAAACTTCAGATTTCACGCTCAATTTTGAAATTGCTTTAACATTTGAAGGAAAATAGATAAAATAATAAAGTAATATATATTATTGAAGGGAATTTAATTATCTACAACTTATGGTCGGCATTTACTTTTTGGGTGCATCGTTGAAGAGTTATCCGGTCAAAAAGAGCAAAATATGTGCGGCAATTTTTTTCCAAAATGACAGACTTTTAAGAGCTGATATATCGAAAACTATAAAAGATATCAAAAAACTTGATTAAGCTAATCTTGCAGCAAAATTAAGCTCTCATTTTATATTGAATGGTCATGTCGCTAGGATGCATATTTTCCGAGATAAAAGTGAAAAACCGAAAAATGGGACCTCAGACTTCCTCTCCCCCTCCCTCCCATCAGCTCAAAGGCTACGGGCGGGCACTTTTGATATGTTCACTTCTCAACTAGTCCAAACAAATTTACGGTGTCAAAAATTGTATTCCATGCATTTCCCTCTATACCTTTTCTTGAGTATTCCTTGTTTGAACTGCAACGTTTGCGTTTGTAACTAATTTAAAGAGTGATAACAAAAACTACGACATGAATAATATATCGGCGACGACTATTATTATGGTAATTATAGACAATTAAAAGACCTTTCAAATGATGTATCGCATGAACCATATTTTTATTTCAAAAAAATAATCGATGACTCGTCTCGCTCACACAGACGACATCACGAATAAAAGGAATATTTAACAGAACGCTCGTTTGACAATAAAAAATCGATGGGTTCCAGAAGCCAACGAGTTACGAAATAATGAATTTATTCCGTTTATTCTATAGTTGTATGGGAGTAGTACGATCCTAGATGAAATTATTAATGCATTGCTTAGTCCCGTTCTACTTTGGGACTTGGGAATTTCTGTGTTATCTAATTACTGAATAAAGAACTCGAATTCAACAACTTGCAGCATTGGAATGATGCAGTAGCGTCAACAAACTGTTGCAACTAGTTAGCGCGATCTTTTGTGCAAATAGATTAAAGTCAAATGATTGTAATACATAAACTATAAAACTACATAAGCATTTATTCAAGTCGTTATTGGTTATTATCACGGAATGTTTGCGAAACGTTCTTTATCTGAACCTAAAATGTAAATTAAGAATATTTTAAATATAGGTACACTTTTCAGTTTCTCATTTAATAAATATCCAATTATTATTTAACTTGGAAGGTAAAAATACACCCATAATCCGATTGTTTTGTGATAATCAGATTTGGTAATCACCATTTACGTGCTGTTCTAGGAGAAATATGGGTAATATTAAAAAATATACATATTTTCGTTTTTTATTTTACAGGCATTTACATTTTTGATTCTAGACTAGAATGATCAAAAATCCAATACACCAAATTAAAAAAAAAAAACAATAATGGGACCAACAGCAAATGGATAAACAATGCTTTTTCTGACTTAAAATGTGAGGATTTAACAAAATCTGCTTCAATAAAATGTTTCCCAAGCAACACATAAAGTCGCGGGAACGTTTCGGCAATTACAAAAACCACGATAAAGTGAACCAATATCATAGGCGGCCACGTCCCTGCAACGTGGCAGCTAAGTAGTCCCTAAAATTGGGAAAAATGTCTACTCGCCGGGTAATATTTCGGGTAGTCCCGGCCACTATAGATATGTTTCGTTACTATACAGGTATCATTTGGGAAAGCGAAACAGGCAGACGACAGCAGCAAGGCAGCAAATATGGCCGTCTTAAAAGTGCTGTCGCGTCTCTTTCATCGGTCGCGCTCTCCCAAATGTGTTTCATTTAATTACATGTGTTTAGACGTAAAGATATCGTTTTCGGTCGCTTTACGCCGTCGCTTGCTGGTGTCTCCTGTCGCGGTCTCGCGTTCTCAAATGGTACCTTAAAGGATTGAGGTAAATATTTATTAGGAAAACATTTGGAATTAGGCATTCCAAACAAAATGGCTGCCCCTTTGAAATAACAGTGTGGGCCTGGTGCCTCTCTATATGCTCAGTTATTTTATTTAGGCAAATTAATTGCACTGGTGGGTGACATTAATTTATTCACTGGTACTATATAGTTTTTGCCTCTATAAAATAACAATAAAATGATACTGTCTAGTTGCAGTAACTACTACCCAAATGTTACTTTGACTCTGGATGTTTACAGTTCCGTTCCAATAAATGGTATCGGTATGATAACAATTACATTAAAAGAACCATATGAAGTAACAATATTAGTACCATCGTGTACCCCATCAGGAACTAAGGCTTCGTAGAAAAACCTAAACCAAAAGGATTTGGTACCACGTGTGTTACTTTTGGGGTTAAAGTCGACAAAATTAAAACACAAAACAAATTACTGCCTGAATTATATGCTGTTCACATTGGCGGCGGAGGAGCGGCTCAATCCACTTACGTAATTTTTGTGGTAAGCCATATGAATAAATTTTTTTAACAAAGCCTCAAGCCAGACCTAGTCAAAGGACCAAACTACGAGTTTCGCCGTGGAACTAGATGGAATTGTTTCAAGAGTGGCTATTGGTTTATCTTGATAAAAACAATATTGTCTGTAATGTATTAACTTAGGAAATTCGAGATATTTAAGGACCTCGATGTTGATTTGATGCATTTTCGATGACTTTATTAATAGTGGATAACAAAGATATAAATCTGGAGCGAATGATTTTGCTTCTTTTTTAGCACCGGTTGAATACGAGAAGGTTTACAGTTATTCTGTTATTCATAGGGGAGTTAAAAAAAGAAAGAGGAAACAGGAGCAAGCACATTTTTTCGGCCCGTTCTCCGTTATTTTCTTAATAGTAAAATTCATTTTATTTCTAATATTTATATTTGGTTATAAAAACATTATCAAAATTAACTTCCCGATTTAATTTTTTTTTCTACTTAAGTTGGAACCATATGGAAAACATTTTTATTATTGATTTTAGGAAAAAAAGTTATTCTTGATAAAAAGTCCTGCATGACCCAAAACCTAAAATACAGTCATCATCACGTATCAAATTTTTTAAGCCGTATACGAGGTTTGTCAAAAAATATGAATTTTGCTCAAGAGTAAAGTACCTTTATTCTTTATACGACTGATAAAATTTGATATTTGATGGTTGTATTTTAGGTTTTAGACCATGCTCGACTTTTTATAAAGAATAACTTTTTTCCCAATATTAATAATAAAAAAGATTTTCATATGCCGCCAATTTACGTAGACATTTGGTGGCATAGGAAAGCTTTTTTATTACTAATTTTAGGAAAAAAAGTTGTTTATAAAAAGTCGAACATGGTCTAAAACCTAAAATACAACCATCAAATATCAAATTTTATCAGTCGTATAAAGAATAAATGTACTTTATTTTTGAGCAAAATTCATATTTTTTGACAAACCTCGTATACGGCTTGAAAAATTTGATATGTGATGACTATATTTTAGGTTTTGGGTCATGCAGGACTTTTTATCAAGAATAACTTTTTTTCCTAAAATCAATAATAAAAATGTTTTCCATATGGTTCCAACTTAAGTAGACACACTGTACATGGTTGGGATAAAATATAGAACAAAGCAAATATCTTTAAAGTAGGAACAATGATATTAGACTGTCAGATAGTGACAGGTTTAGGTGCCCCATTTTCGCATACAAGCCTCGAAAATGGTTGAAAAGTACATCGAGTTTGAGTAGAATGAAAGGAAATTTACGATTGGCTCCTGGGGATAACATATGGAAAATTCCATTTTCCTTAACAGAAATTAAAAGAATTTCTTGCCCATACTTTCACGCAAGCCGTTTTCACTAAATGATTAACTAATAGAACTAGGCTTCAGAAAACTAAAGGCATGTTGCAAGTGGCTACAGAATTGAAATAAGGGCGTAATCTTGTAAGACAAAAATTGAGATTTTAACCGATTTTTACATGCGCTTTTCGGATGCATGAAAACGTACATCGTCACTAGTCAGAAAAACATATTGGCTTGAATGACCCAAATGGATAAGTGTATTTTGGGGTCGAAAAATATTTCTGTTAAGGAAAATCGAATTTTCCAAGGGTTATCCCCAAGAGCGCCTCGTAAATTTCCTTTCATTTTACTCAACATCGATGTACTTTTCAACCTGTTTTTTTTTTTCAGATTCGTCTATACTGGGTTTAGTATGAGTATTTGTGAAAATTGTAAAGATACAGCGCTTGGCAAATACTAAACCATTAATTGTATTATTGCAAATCGGAAATACAGTAACAATAAAAAAAGTCGCATTAGCTGCATTATACGTCATTGCGGCAACCTGCAATCAATAACATCATTTTCATTTTAAAGATAGTGGCGTTGTTCCGTACTTTATCTCAGCCCTGTATCTACCTATTGCCATTGATAAAAGAAAAATATACTTACATGCTAGACCCATAACTATGACAGCAAATCGGTAATATTTGTATTTCGTGTGATGATCTTTGGTACCTAATCCTAAACCAGTCAGTACTGTAGCTACGAGGTCAGTCAGAAGAGTTATCACACAGAGAGCTGCAGCAGCTTTGATGTACCCTAAAAAAAAACGATAATGTAAATATTTCGTTATTTATAACGCTATAATTAAGAATTTATATAAGTTTAAATGTTTAAATAAAAACGAATGAAGTATCTAATTTTTGTGGTATGATTTTAGTTCTTCAGTTAGACGACTGTGGAATAGAATGAAATGAAAAGGTAAGACTAGAACCTAAGGACTAAGGGGACAGATGCCAACATAGATGAGTTGTATTTACCGATGGTACAGTCTTTGTGCCAATTAAGCAACGAACTCTAAAAGCCAATATTTTCAATTTTCACCATATTTACTAAATAAAATTCATCATAATATCACAATAAAAAATACACTTCTCTAAAATCTCGCCTAAAACTGAACAAGATAGATTAAAGAAGTACCTTATATACTGTGAATAAAAATACACTAATCAATAGCATAATGATAGCAGATACTATTTAAAAATTAAGGCAGAAACAGGTGAGACCACACCACATTTTTATCTAGTATACCTCTGTGACCTAGGTACGTACGTATTGCCCCATGTAAGACGTTTTTTAGACATTTATGCAACAAAAATCTGAAAAATTGACAAATTATTAAAAAATATGTCTTATTTCAACCTCTGTACGGGGTAGCTATCCCCGTGAATATTTTAATTCTCAACAGAGGTCGACCGATTGCTCATTTAAAACGGTTTTTAATTATTCTATTGAGGTAATTAAAATCAAAATGAAAGGCACCTAACTAAAAATTTACTGTTTTCTGTCAAAAAGACCATGGAGAAGGAAATGATATGAATTCGCGTGCGCTATATGACCGAGCATACATGCGCGAGCGCCTCAACGTGATACTTGCTGTCTCCAATTGACTAGTCCCTCAACTAATTGCAAAACGTGACATGTCGTATATTTTGCTTTCTATTTGAAGTTAGGTACAGGGGAGGGGGGCGAGGTGAAAAACATGTACTATGTCCCGGTGGTGGGAACTGTTGTGTAACCTGTTAAGAATAATGTTTCTTATCGATAGAATTTTTCAGTTTTTGCTGGCAATGAAATATTATGCTTCCAGACGTCTATAACAATAAAAAATCCTCTTTCATACATTTTCTGTCATCTGGTTTTGCTACTATTAATGTAGGGAAATTCCCACACTTACACCGAAAGTAGCAAAACCGGACGACAATAAATGCTTGCAAATAATTTATTTTATTGTTACGCTGTTGCTAGGTACACGCTAAAGTGTAAACAAATCCAAAAATTATATACACGCGAAACGTCATATTGCTGTGGTGGGAGGTGTTTGTGTGAATGCGTGTTTGTTTTCATTTACGCCGTGACTAGCAGCTAGCAGTAGTATTTTATAAACCTTAGAAGCAAATCTCACATACATGAATAAGTAATAACAATGCCGTGACAACAAGAAAATGAAGCAACGAATTTTCGTAGAAAATTTCATTCCATACCTGGCTGAGCCGACCGTCATGGACACAGCTCACCTACTCTGTCAAGACGTTTCACGTGTATATAACTTTTTGAACTGCGTACAAGTTAGCGTGTACCTAGACACTGTGTTATTGTTATAGACGTCTGTCTAGAAGCAAATTATTTCATTGCCAGCAAAAACGAAAACTCTACATTATTTCAAATTTGAGAGGTTACATGACAGCTCCCACCACCGGGATATAGCACACGTTGTTCACCCCCCCTTATACCTAACTACAAATAGTAAGCAGCGAAAAACACGATATGACACTTTTTGCAATCAGATGAAGGACTATTACATTCATGCCATTGTAAGGACCATTCACAAAACAACTCTGCGGGAGAAATGCGGAGGAAATGTTGTTCAAACGCGAAAAGAATACAATTCATTTTCCTATATAGTATATTCGTCATAAATTAAAGGGTCTGGCAGTTTCGCTACGGCTCCAGTACTTCGTCATCGTTCTCATGTATTCTACGTGGTGGGGGGATGGACTGACTTATTTTTTTTAATATTCTTTACTAATCGGACAAGTGAGGCCTTACAAGTCCATACAAGACAGAGAGGTACTTAAAGGATTAGAGTATGACCAGATTGGTCGAAATTGGCTCGCATTATAATAAATAATATATGTATACTTATAAATTGACAAAAACCAAAAAACAGACAATAATCGGAAAATGAACGACTACAGCCCTTTTTTGGCCTTTATACCGTAACGGAAAATGACTTTTCTCTAACTGAGAAGGTTGAAATTATTAGCAATTTTTTTTCTCGTTTTATAGATCATTAACAACGATCTCTAATTGGGAAAAAACTATCGTGCTCTTATGAGGCCGAAAATCCTGGCCGCTGGATTTCCTATTACAATTTAAGAATCAGTTGTAAATAATGTAAATCCAATTAATAAACCAGTGTCGTATTTTTGTTAATTAAAAAAAGTTCCTGTTAACTTACAGGGTGCTATTGTTATATTTTTAAAATAAGAGTGTAGCAAAATAAAAATATTCCCATTCGATTTTCTCGATTTGTAACCGCAGTCTTTTCTGTGTAACGATGTAGATACCTACGTAGTTTCTGAAAATGTGATTATGCGGTAAAAAAAAACAAATCCAAAGATGTTATTGAAAATATAACTAGCAAGCCTTACAAATATCACCCTTTCCGATATGGGATACATTTTTTGAATCCAGCAGATGATTTAGGGCCAAAATTTCAATGTGAGGACATTTTCGTTAAAGTGTCTTATTTTGAACTTGCTATTTTGAAAAACCAATGTTTAAAATTCACCATTTAAAGGCCTCTAGCTCAGAACTTTTTTATTATTACCACTCGGTACACCATTTCAATAACACCCTGTGCATGAAAAATAAATCTTAAAAATATTACGACAAATATTTGTAAAAATATATACAATAAAGTGTGCTTATACGAGTATCTAAAACGTTTGTCTACTAAAACGTAATCTTTCGTTTATTCTATATCTAAGCTACTATCAAAGTAATGTCTTCGAGAATGTATTCGGATATCATTGATAGCAGTCAGTCAACGTCTTGTATGATTAATTTACACCGGTAAATGCGATTTCAAATCCCAAACACGTCATTGTTTGATTATTTACTACTATGCAATAGCTTGATAAATGTTTATGATATTTCTTTTATCAGTGACTATAGAGCATTGTTGGAATATTCTAAAATGGAACTTACTACCTTGAGTCTTCCTAATTTGTTTCTACAGATATCTTTTGTTCAAAACAGGTGTGCTTTTCAGAAACATTCTAAGAGTAATAAAGTCAATCTACATAGCCTAGTCAAAAAACACCCTGTATATGCTGGGGCGGCGGCTTTTGATTTTTCAGTGGGGTGCAAGGTGCAATAGGTTATTATAATTGCACTAAAAATAATGGACCCGATGATTTCCTCATTCATCTGATTTTTTAATCAAAATACAATTTTATAGATAATAATTGCTACAGAAATACGAATTTGCCGGTATGCCTACCAAAATATGGCCGCAAGAACTTTTAATAGTACTTTTTTTTACTTTAAGGTATATTTCTCTTATTTATGATTCTATAAGAAAATTCTTTCAACAAAAGTTGTTAGAAATGTTATTCTCTATAATTTTGGTCATACATGATCTCTTTAAAATGGATCATAACGGAAAAATTTGAGTAAAATGTAAATACTCCTGTAAAGTTATCAAAATATTGAGTACAGGCCATCTAATCAAAAAATGTTTAGAATATGAATTAAAGATAAACATTATTCAAAATATTATTTCATAACTTCATTATTAATGAAAACCAAATATTGCACTTTTCATCAAATTTCTACATTACTGTCCATTTCAGAGAAATCATGTTGATCATTTGATCAAAATTATAGAGAATAACATCACAAACAACTATTGTTGAAAGAATTTTCGTCTATAACAATAAATAACAGAAATATACTTTAAAAAGATGAAAGTATTTGCGGTCATAATTTGATAGGCAACACGGCAAAATCGTATTTTTTTATCTATGATTATCTATAAAAATTGAATTTTGATTAAATAACAGATGAATGCAGAAATCATAAGGTCGGAACTTAGACTATAATAATAATTAAACAAAGATAACCTATAGTTTGTATTTTTTTATCATGAGGGTCAGTTTTGAGAGAGGATTAAATAATTGAAAGTTAGCAAAATTAACTTCTGATGACATCGTTTAGGAGGGTAGGATATCAAATGAAAGTTCTAAAGCACGATTTCAAAAATATATAATACTTTTTCTTTAACATTTCTATGAAAAAAAAAAAACGATGAAAAATTACTGTGCACCAAATTTAACATCAAAAGTAACGCTCAGATAAATCTCAAAAATTACTAACCTTGAGAGAATAAAGTGTAGATTAAATTAAATATATTATTTATCTTGGAAGTCAGTTTGGGGAAGAAAGAAAATTGGAAATTAGAAAAAAAATCTGGATGCCAACTTGTGGGGTATCAAAGGAAAGCTCGTTGAAGCACGATTTCAAAAATGTGTAATACGTTATTTTTTCTTTAACACTTTTTCGAAAAAACGTTTAAATGTAACCCTCAGAAAAATCGGAGAACGTTGGGAAATCATCAAGATTACATTCAGTTAGATTTTTTTTATACAAAAAGAAGAAAGCTCTGCAGTGGGGTACTCATATTTTGATATGTCACGTAATGAGACACCTATCTTCGTTTGACAGTCTGCGATTCTTACTATTCTCACTATTTTCTCACTATTCGATACGTGACGTGCCGAGTTCGCACATACTGCACATGTTGTACTAATACTTTGTCTTCGTATCAGTATACTTTGTCTTTGTGTAAGTATACTTTGTCTTTGTATCAGTGCCTGGTCTCAACCTGTCAAATCTACTTATTTTAAAACAAATACTATTGCGTAAGTACGACTTGTACTAGGAGACATTTTTTGTTTATGTATGTAGGATGTTTAAAGAAAATAAACCTTAATCAAATTTGAGTTAAGGTTCCTTTCAGTATGTTATTTAAAAACAAGTACAAATTAAAATGGAGAGTAGTAAATAATATGATGAACGTCAGTAATTTTAACGTAAAATTTTAAAATTTAAATATAACGAATGTTTCCCTTTTTCTGACCTTTCTAGTTTTATCACGAGAGACGTTCTCTTTTCGCTGAGCCTACCTAGTAGGCGATGATATTTTTTCAACAATTTTGTCTGACATTTTAATCTAGTTGTTTACAAGTTTAGTTAGTGACAGTTGTCAAATATGCTTGAATGTTTGTAAGATACATAAGTTTAAAGTAATCCTTTCGCTAACAAGTAATAAGTGATGGAAATTAACAAGTAGCATTATCGGGCTATGATTTTTTACAATTTCAAGCGTGGCTTAAACCGTAAAGATGTTTTGAGGAAATCAATCGAGTGTTTGGTGAAAAGTCGTGTTCCTTCGCTACTTACCGCAAAGCGATGGTTTAATGAATTTCAATGGGGTCTACTTTCCTTAAATGACAGTTTTCGAGCTCCTAAGCCAAAAAACGGCAGTTTCAGAAAAAAAAATGATCTTATTCGGAACATGATTAAAGAGGATCGGCACATTACTGTCAGAACCATTCAAGCAACTTTAAAGATTGGTGTAAAAGCAGGTTTAAAAGCAAATAACAATATTTTACACAAAAATTCGTTCTCGGTGGATTCCCCACAGCTTGACCTTAGCTCAAAAAGAAGACCGTGTTAGATGGTGCAGAAGATCTACACTAGATCACTTTGACTGTGGATCGTCTAATTTAGTGTACACCGTCATAACATAGGTGAACTGCTATGATCTCGAAAAAAAAAGCAACAATCGTCAATTTGGATCTTCGAGAATAAGTCGGCTCGAACAAAAATTGTTGAAAAAAGCCGAAACAAAAAGATGGTTGCCACTTCTTTTGGAATTACTGGGCATGCTCCCACTGTAGCACTAAAGGATATACGATAGACGTAATTGTTTACCTCAGGTTATCCAAAAAGGTTCGCAGAAAACGTACAAGACGAAGGATAATCATTCATCACGATAACGCTCAGGCTCACACTGCTACTCGAACAAATGAGTATTTAAATGCCCAAAAACATAGAAATAATGGGTCATTCGCCGTATAGTCCAGATCTAGCACTTAATGACTTATTTCCGCAGGAAAAGGATAAATTACGCTGTTTACATTTTACATTGGCCGAAGAAGAGGTTGATGTCATTAAAAATTAAATAAACAACGGCCAGAAGATTGGAGAAAATGTTGTATTTCCAAAATATTATTGTATTGAACTCTTTTTTCAAGCATCTGAAGTCTTCGAGTCTAAAATTAAGAAAAATGCTTCTCATTCGGTATATTCATTTTACATGATTATATTAGAATTTATTCACGATGTAAATATAATCATGAATAATTGATTTGACTTTATACTAAATTGTGTTCATATGATTTCTTAATTCTATTTTATAATAATTCGAGGGGTAAATACATTAGAGAATGTGTGTACAGAATAATTTCGATTTCAGGATTTCCGGAACTTTCGAAGGAATTCCGTAGTACTTAAAGAATTACGGGACGGCCAAAAAAATTTCAAAACATTTCTGAAAAATGATAATTCGCATTATATTCTAAATTTGGAATTTTGAATCAAAAGAGATGATGGAAGTATAAAAACAATGTAATATAACAATACGATATATTGTTTTAAAATGAAGGAACTACATAATTATTGTAAAGTTAATTTACTGGTGTAAATAGATTTAAAAAATGTATTTGTACAAATCTAACGTGTGACTATACTTAAAGAAATATATAATATAGCAATTTTTATAACCTTGCATAGAAAACTATGATAAAAAAATTTCGGACAAAAATCTTTTATATTAAAATATCCTCTCAATTTATAAAATGAGTTATTTGATTGCCATTTACTGTGTAGTAACATAAAATTGTATTTTTTTTAATACAACACCATATATAGTATTACAAATTTGTATAGAGCTCTCAAAGACTAGTAGAAGATATTTCTTTATTTTCAACGACGAAAAACTATTCCATTCATTCTTAATTAAGCCCTGTATCTGTAACGTGTAGAGGGTGGGTTGCCTCCCACAGCACTTAGGCCTCACTAGGCCCATTGTGCATCCTCCTAAGATAATAGGCACCACCTAGCTCGTGAGCCAGCCTACAGATTTAATGTAGTTGACAACGTCGCCAAGAGGTGCTTCTTTTATATCGGCCGGTGTTAGCCGATACTCACCGAACACAAATCTTCTAATAAATGAGAGCGTCGAGTAATCGTAAAGGATATGCTCGATGGTCTCATATTTTTGTTCGCACCCTCTGCAGAGTGCGGATTCTGACAGCCCCATGATATGGAGATGCTTCCGTACTTGGCGAAGATCAGTCAGAATGCCTGTGATTAAGCCCTTATTTATCGCAAGTATTCAGGCTGTGTTTGATATTAGGCAGACATAGTTTTTGAATCGGCTGCAGCATTAGAAAGAGCGAGGCGCCTGCTAAATTGAGTGAAAGTGATTTGTGCGAGTTTGTTTATCTGAGGTGCGAATACACGGTTCGTAGACTGAAACGGTGGCCTCATCCCGGTTGCTAAGAACGCCACTGAATGAAAAAGTGAGTTTACAAAACATTCTACTACTGTTCGTACATTAGTTTTTAAAAAAAATCCAATATTTATTGTATTTTAGTGGTGTTTATATTTTTATTTTTGAACTATTTTATAGTTTCTATAATATCGATTTGATTTTTTGAAAGACGAGCTACAAAATAGCAAAGAAAAATCATATAATTAAATTTCAAATGAATTACTTTTTATTTGAATTATAAAGAGAAATTAAATATTATTGTGTAATTGGTTTATTCTCAACTTTTTGGGTTAGGGTACGGCCTCCGGGCCGAACTCGGACCACATTTTGTTGATACCCTGAAATAATTTGAAATTTTAGCATGCCTGGAGCATTATTTTAAAATTACTTATTTTGTCTTAATGACCTAATATAATTTTTCAAATTTGTAATTTTCGTTAGTGGGTTGTAGAAAAAATATACTGAACAACTCGAGTGGATTGTCCATATCTACTCTTGTTGCACAAACTACTATTTTATTAATTATTTTTACACAGGATTCCACACTTTGATGATTGTATGATTTGCCGGGTGGTGTACCCTAGAATTTGGTAAATCTAAATTTTCTAAGATAGTTTCATCTTGTGTTTCGTCAATTCCGAGACTTCCGAGAGAATTCCTGTCGGATGTGTACACGGAATTGCGCATGCGCGGATACAAGGGGGTGGTAAAAGGGTAATCCCCCCGAGCTGCAAGAAATACTGAAATGTATTCAATTGTAACCGAGACTTTACGAGAAAGCAAAAAACAGGATGGCGGCGACCAATAAAATTATTTACCCCCCTCCCGAGAAATCTTTCCAGATCCGCGGCTGGAATTGCGTATACATTAACCCCTCGTAATAATCAAAACTCCCGTAACCTAGATTCGCCGCACTGATTAAAGCTATCTAAATCCGGAAGCAATACCTATTCTTTGAATTTTGATGTCGCTTATTGTTGACATCGGTGAATCAGCAGATTTCACAGCAAGTCGATTAGTAACTACTCCAATAATTAAGTAAAGAAATGAATCTTTTCAAGGAACAAAAAATAACTTACCCGCGTCTCTTGATTGATAACATCCTGGCAAATCTTGTATGCTAAAGGGTAGGGGTTGTGGTGCATCTTCTTCTATGCAATGCATAAATAGACCCTGTCTCCATCCCGCTGCCATTAGCCAGTCGGTCGATGCAAGGCCCATTATCATCAAAATTATCACTATGAGTCCGCATATGAAAGCTATCACCTAAAACAAAGAAAGAGCGTTAAAATAGTGAACTATAGATTACCGAGAGGATAAGGGTTACAATTAGTATGAAAATAAATTACAATTATTGCGCTTTGGTCAGTTTTATATATATTTTTTTCCTAATTCGTGTTTTAAGCTAATATTTTTTACTTAACGATCGTCATATCTTCAGTTTTTGCATTTTTTCAGCTACTTGGGCATTTAGTCGTTTGGTTAATAATAGTTATTTGCGTATTTAGGGAGTAATGTGGTTTCTTCCAGTTGACTGTAAACCCAAAATCCATACATAACAGAGTTTTAGCAAATGTACGTAAGATCTCCGCTAACGTTACGTTAAACTTAGATTGTGACATTTTTCATAAACATTCAAAGGTGTAGATTACAGTATATCGCTAAGGTAACGTTAGCGGATGGTTAGCGAATATCTGCTAACTCTCTAATGTATTACTCCCTAAATGCATACTCGTACAATATTTTTCGGTCTGACGATAATGCTAATGGTCTTTGTTAGTGATGACTATGAAGACTAGAGATAAGGAGGCGAATCGGCCTTGGTCAAATTTCCGTCCCTATTTTTATGGAGTTCCAAAAAACTACTGTAGTTGGCGGGTGGCAAAATAACGACGTCTATTTTCTATACAAGTCAATGGGAATTAAAGTGATTTTTGTAAAATTTAGTGAAAAGAATAAAAGTAAGCTGAAATAAAGAACCTGACTACAAGTAACAAGGAGTAACAAAAAACGGCAAAGCAGGATTTGCTTCGTTCCGGGTTGAAAAACGGGATATAAATCCGATATAAAATTAAAGAAAACACAAGGATATAAAAATCCAAGTCTTTTTAAAGTTCCTAGTGTAAGTAAAATAATGTATTTATTTCTAACTAATATATATTTATTGTAAAATAGTCACAACCCGTATCTTACGGAGTGTAGTTTATTTAATTACAAAATTTTATAATAAAAAATAATAAAGTCATAAATCCTGGCTTACAAACAACAATAATTACACATTAAATTTAACTTACTAGAAAAGAAAATTTGCTTTTTTTATGTTTTTTGATGTTAGATGAAGAGTTACTACTATTATTTTTCTTTATTGAACTCCAATTTAGTCATTGTAAATATTTTTTATAGGATCCTAAACGTTTAGAACAATGGCAGCATGTGATTCCTAGGGCTGATAAAGTACTGTCTAGTTATAATTCTGTTTGCGAGCTACACTTTTTAGAAGATGATATTTTAAAATTTGATGAGACTATTTTAACTAATAGTACTGTTAACAAAATAAAAAGGGAAAGGCGGAGATTAAAGAACGTAGCAATACCATGTATATTCCCGAATCTCCCTTCATACTTGTTCAGTATTAGGAAAAGACGAAAACCACCATTGAACCGAACTGAATAAAAAAAGGAAGAAAATTCTAGAACCTATTGCTGAAGAAACTATTCACCAGGATGATGAAATTGTAGTTGTCGAATACAAAATCACCACAAAATTGTTCTTACCAAATTTCACCATTTAGCAAACCTTTTCAAATTTGGTCATACCTAATTTTCATCTTATTTAGATAAAATTAAATAATGAATAGTAAATAATGTTTAACATAAAGAGTCATTTATAACTAATACCAACAGTATTTTCTGTACTTTAGTTAGCAATTAAAACAAAGATTTATTTACAATAATTAAAATCAACAGTATTTTCTGTGCTTTAGTTAGCAATAAACAATTTGATTTTTATTATTTTCATAAAATTTTGTAAATTCCCTAATTAAATATTTTCATTTAAACCGTGTCTTAGTATGCCCTCAGCCCTATTTAGCTTTAATTAAAAAATAATTAGCCCTACCCATCAAATTTCAACACTTATCATCAATAATTTGCATTTTACTTAAATAGGAATACATAGTAAATAATGCATCAATTAAAATATGTAAGACTTATTTAGAAATAAATACAACAGTATGTTCTGTATTTTATTTAGCTATAAACAAGTTTATTTTTATTATTTTGACAAAATTATGTATAATTCCCATAAGAAGCCATATATTTTGAACTACGTAAACCGTACCAGCGCCCATGCGGTTAATTATAAAAGCTCAATTGACGTGTGATTTTTGGGACCGTATTTTGAGTATGCCGATTCGCCTCCTTATCTCTAGTCTTCATAGTGATGACATAATTTCACTGATTAGTGCATAATTTGCGTTTAAATGACAAATGTCAGTAGACTTGAGAACGTTTTGTTCGTTTTGTTTACCACTAAATTAATGTACGTGCCTAAAAAAGGGCTACGATAAAAACAAAATTTTCTAAACTCCAAGATTTTTAAAACTTTGGTAAAATTAAAAAAAAAAACGATCTTCCAACGTACATAAGCCGTATGTCTTCGATGTTTAATTAATCGAAACATACACCTAAAAAAATTAAGGATTCAATTGAAATAAAAATTTGACAAAACTTAAAAAAACGATTTTTTAACAAATGATATCATTAGCAATACGTTTCCAACGTTAAATTAATCAAAAAAGGCACCCAAAATAAATTAGTGCTTCAATAGCAACAAAATTTTCAAAACGAAAAATGGATTTTTGGACTTTTGGAGCCAAAAATCCTTGAAAATGGTTTAATATTTCTAAATATTGCCAAAAGCTTCTAAACCCTTCCATACACGCAAGGTACGCCTTTAATTATCATTTTTAGTAGTCGATCATGCCTAAAAAACAAAAAACAAGAAACCAAATCCAGGTATACAAAATTCCAAAATGGCTATCCCTTTTTACAAACAATCCAGAAACATGTCAATTTTTATTTTATTTAGGCATTTGTGGTATAACGTAACAGAAATTCTTTCATTTTTTTTTATAATATACAGTTACTTTTTATTTTATGGCAATCTAACGAGATAAAACAAACATCAATAACACTTTTCTTTATAAAAAAAAACCTGTCCTATATCTGTTAAATTACAAATCCAACCAACACTAATACTAGCAAATACACTAAAGGTGGGAACGCTCTAGGCGTTCGCGCTCCCATCGCATTGCGGACCGTGCTTAACTCGACCGCGCGCTGTCAAGTTATTTCCCATGTTTTATAACACATGCATTTCCACTTGGTGTTCTCGGGTTATGCTCGCTCGCATCACGTTCTCCGCCGATCTTTTCCAAAGACTCTCGAGAGACCGCGATAAGATCGAGGCGGGCTCGGGAACGTCTAGTGCGAATGTTTTTGATGATCACATGTACTATGCTAAGTCTATGAACCGTCACTACACAGTAACACGTGGTGAGAATGTAAATTGAGAATGTTTATATTTGTTTTGTGATTGGTGTATGCTGTATTTCACCCGTTCTGGAATCTGGAATATGGAGGATAAAAATTAATTTTATTAACTGTATGAATATATGATCATTGTACTTTCCAGATGGCATACGAAAGTACTGAAAAACTCGCGATTCGCCCAATAACAATTTTCTTAATTTAACCATTAATCTTAAATTTGTGAGTTTGAGGTTAGTGGGAAGAGGACGTGCCAAAAGGAAACATTTACTTCTTAATTTACCGACGTTTCGACGTTTATTTTTCGTCTTTTTCAAGGCTGAAAATACATAATAGGTTTTACATCATTTTAATCAAACGCACAAATTTGACTTTGACAACGTTAAAATTGTTGATAAAGAATCCAACTATTACAAAAGAACAATTAGTGAAATGATACACATATCTCTAAACGACACAGTAAATTTAAGAACGGATACTGCCAATTTAAGTAACCTGTCGTAACCTACTTAATACAGTGTGTCTACTTAAGTTGGAACCATATGGAAAACATTTTTATTATTGATTTTAGGAAAAAAAGTTATTCTTGATAAAAAGTCCTGCATGACCCAAAACCTAAAATACAGTCATCACATATCAAATTTTTCAAGCCGTATACGAGGTTTGTCAAAAAATATGCATTTTGCTCAAGAATAAAGTACATTTATTCTTTATACGACTGATAAAATTTGATATTTGATGGTTGTATTTTAGGTTTTAGACCATGTTCGACTTTTTATAAAGAACAACTTTTTTTCCTAAAATTAGTAATAAAAAAGCTTTCCTATGCCACCAAATGTCTACGTAAATTGGCGGCATATGAAAATCTTTTTTATTATTAATATTGGGAAAAAAGTTATTCTTTATAAAAAGTCGAGCATGGTCTAAAACCTAAAATACAACCATCAAATATCAAATTTTATCAGTCGTATAAAGAATAAAGGTACTTTACTCTTGAGCAAAATTCATATTTTTTGACAAACCTCGTATACGGCTTGAAAAATTTGATATCTGATGACTGTATTTTAAGTTTTGGGTCATGCAGGACTTTTTATCAAGAATAACTTTTTTTCCTAAAATCAATAATAAAAATGTTTTCCATATGGTTCCAACTTAAGTAGACACACTGTATATACAAGTCCAAAATTGAACCGGACCAAAACAATAAGCCGATAAAATACTAACTATACCTACCGGACTATTAATTAAAAAATATACAAATTAATTTCTTCGTCCACCTAGAATTTTAACTGCCACAATATTTTGATTAATTTTATCATCATTTTAAGATATCTGTGTGTAAATGTTACTTTTAGTATTATATTTTATTTATGTATTGTTCTGTTTTAACTGTTTCGGCAAATTGCACATATGTCATGTGCATTGCATTAATTAATTTAATAAGGTAAGGTTTTTAGTTTTTATTTCTCCTTGTTTTTATGTTGATATTAAATTGTTAATTCTCTCATGCGAACAATGATTGTTTTACTTAAATAACAATAACCATTTACGTTGCATATATACCATTTATAATATTGACACCTATGTAAATCTCATAGTTTTTACAATTTTTTTTATTAAAACCTATTATGTATTTTCAGCCTTGAAAAAGACGAAAAATAAACGTCGAAACGTCGGCAAATTAAGAAGTAAATGTTTCTTTTTGGCACATCCTCT